AATGAATGCATTCTTTGCTGTTGCTGAGTGGTCCCAGTGCTGGGAACACTATGATCACTGTTCTGTGTCTGCATCCATGTCCTTCTTGTGTCCCCTATGCTTGCTGAAGGTCCCCCTGCAGTTCCTTCTCCTCTGTTAGACACTCTTCTAACTGAAGGTCCCCAGGCACACTGGGGCCTCAGCACCTGTCCCGCACCGGGACCCCGGGACTGCTGGTCATCCCATGAACAACTCTGCTCATCGGGGATCCCACTGACTCCCAGCTGCTTTCCAGCTCCACGGGTCCCACAGTACCTGCTCCTCTGTCCCAGCATAATTTCTTCACCCCTCGTAGTACTGACGCTGCAAGCAAGAGCAGCTCTAGATTAATTTTCACCCTCTCCATTTCCCCACTCTGCTTTTTCACTGTAAACTGCATTCTATCCCTACACATGGAAGCTAGGTTTTGAAATGTCAGAGGCCTTCTCTTCACCAATTCCAGTGGTAGCTGCCCCTTGCCCTTCTCCTCTCCATGGTTACCGCTTCCTCTTAGTAGAGTAGGTGTCCCATGAAAGGGGAGCTCCCTCCTGCTACTAGCTATGGTGTTTCCTTTCAGATTCAGACAGGAAGCGGAAGTCAAAGCAAGTGAGAGAGGAGGGAAAAGTCAGTCACCCTCTCAACCTCTACCGGAACCCCAAAAGCCAGTGCTCTGGGCTCACAAGAGGCTTTGGTCCCACACTGTAGACTCACTGCCTTTTAGTGAAAGCCTGCTGGGATGTCCCAGCCAGTCTGCACTGGCCAGCAGCAGCACAGAGCACCCAGCGAAGGGCTTGATGTCCTATCTGAACAAGACGCTCATCAGTGAGATCTTCCTCTTCCCGACCCCTCCTTTAACCCAGGGGAATCCTAATGTTCTCTGGCCTCAGGACTCCTGTATGCACTTAAAAAGGAATTGAATATCTTGGGTTTTTGCGTATGTGTACTATAACCATCAATAATTTCTGAATTGGAAGTTAAAACAGAAATGTGTAAATCATTTATTTGTAGCTCTATTTAAAATATAATAATCTCTCACATGGAAACATTTAATGCTTTTTATAAAAAATAATTGTTTTTCTAAAGCTATAATGCATAGGGAAGCTAACATTATTTGTTATTTTTATAACTCCTTTTTCAAGTCTGACCTAGTAGAAGACAGCTGTGTTCTCCTGTATCAATGTTGGCAAACTTATAGCACATGTTCCACAGGGGGCTGCTGTCATACATGCTTCTGCTTTGTTGTTACGTATCATCCTGGATTGCTTGCCACACAATCCCATTTTGTCATGTAGAATAGTAAGGACCTGGGGATAATTTTTACTGCTTTGTCAAGGACAATTTATAGTGAGCTTGCATGGTGGTTTATGCTTGTAATCCTAGCACTTTGGGAGGCTGAGGCAAGAAGATTGAATATTTGAGCCCAGATTGGGTAATTTAACAATTTAGCAAGAACATGTCTTGAAAAAAGGTTTAAAAAGGAGTGGGGACGTAGCTCAGTTGGAAGTCCCTGGGTTCAATCCCCAGTACCACAAGAAAGAAAAAAGAAACAAAAAACAAAGAAAAAGAACCTGATTTTTTTTTTTTTTTTTTTTTTTTAGAGACCTATGTGACACTGAAGGGAAATACCACTTGGTCCTGCTATAAAGGATAAACTTGAGTCATCTGTAGGAAAATGGATGTGCCTTGAGACCATAATGTTAAATGAATAACTCAGGCAAACAAGCTGAAATATCACATGGTTTCTCTTACATGAAAAACTGAATATATAATGTATGAAATAAAGACAGATAATAGAAAAGGAGAGAGAAGGAATAAAAAAGAAAAAAGATATTGTAATCCAATGCAGACAATGTATCTTTTTAGATACCAAACCTAGCACAATTGTCTTACCTGTTTTATATGTTCTTTGGCCTATTAGTCTGCTTTTCAATCTGCATATGTGATAATTAATTTCATAAGTTCTTATAAGATAAATAAACGAATCTGACACTGGAAAAATAAAAGTAGGGGTGAAAGGGAGGGGGAAATAGAATTGAGATGTGTTACGCACACGTACCAATTCCCTACAATGAATGTGGTCATTACGTACTCCAAACACGGACAAATAAAGACAAAAATTAGAAATCATTCCTGCTATAATCTATGCTGCTCACTGTTGATTTCTGCACCCTCAGTGCAAATATCAACGCAGAGAACAAAACAGTAGCACTGTAGTCTAATTAGGAAAATAGTAATGACCTTGTCGGCCCCTGCAAGGTTCTCAGAGATCTCTGTGTCCACATTTTCACTGCTGAGCTAAAATCACAGGTGCAGCGGTAATTACAGGAAGACTCTTCCAGAGAAACCAATTCTCAAACGTCTCTTCTCCTGCTGGACAAACGCTGAAGAATATAAATACATTGTTTAAAAAGGCAATCCCACTCCAGCCATTCGCTGTCTTGCTGAGCACCAACGTAATGCCCTCTTGATCTGAGTCCTTTGAACTTTCCCCTGGCTCCTGCTTTCATTGTCTTCTGCCTACACACAAGCACACCACAAAGCTCCGCGTCACCACTCTGCCCTTGTGTTGGTATCATCCAGGTGGGCTGTGCTGGGCTGCACAGAAAAGACATGGTTATAGTACACACCTCTCAGGGGTGCACAGCGTCCCTCCTTCTTCCCCCACGATGACTAGGGGGTTAAAAAAAAGCAACAGATGATGAACTTCAGGATCCTCAAGCCCAGACAGACCCCTGTGCTCCCAGGTAACAAGCCAAGGCCACTGTGCTTGCTTGCAGGAGGAGAGTCTGAGCCATGAGTGGACGGTTAGAAACTCCCGGCACTCCTCCGGGTACGAGGTGGTGACTCCATTGAGGAGTTGGGCTTTCCCGAGCTGGAGGACTAAGGCTGTGTTTGCAGGCAGCGGAGCAGCGCACAAGGGGGGCTGCAGTGGGTGTGAAGCCCCAGTGCAGCTCTGAAGGCCTTCTCAGTCCAAGGCATTTTGTAAGGCCCCTGCCCTCTTCGGAGCCCACAGGGTACCCTGCTTACAGAACTGCTTGCAAAACAGTGTCCTCCACCCCTGCTCACCTCTCTCTGTTCCCGGTCCTCTCCCACTGGGGCTGTATAACTAGCTGTGCCCAAAGCAACCTGGAGCAAACAACTTTCTCCTGGAGACTGTTCCCGAGGTTGTTCTGCAGCACCATGCACGTGCTTGCTTAAGCTGAACACCTGGAGGAGTGCCTTGACCACCTCCCACAAGTCCTCTCCACAGTGCTCAAGTCCCAAGTGTATTTTGTAGGGTGGCACCACCCTTCACTCGTTGCTTGACTTGAAATGGCAGGAGGCTGCCAGTGGTGCTCAGCCCACTCGGTGACAATGTTCTTACGCTTCAGGAAGAAATATTATGAGATGTGACTGCCCCATACGCTACTGGGGAATGTTAAAATTCATACATGTACTGTGCTATGAAAATCCCCCCAATTCTAAATTTCTGAAATTTGCCTGCATCCCCTCCTTTTGGATGAGGGAGTATAGGCTTGTAATGGTGACTAAATCCTTAGCGTTCTTCTCTGCCTACTGTCTTTGACACGTCTGTCTTTATTTCCTAAGGCTAACATTTTGGTTTTTTTTTTTTTTTTTTTCGGTACCGGGAATCGAATTCACGACCTCGAGCTTGCCAAGCAGGCGCTGTGCCGCTGAGCTAAATCCCCAGCCCTAGGCTAACATTTCTGGTAGGTTCAAACACTCCTAAATTCTCCTATTGTCCTGTAAGCCTCATATGTGAGGCTAATCAAATAATCATATGTGAGGCCCTAATCAAATATTTCCACACTTAATATCCTTTCTGTACTTTGAATTTAATTATATAATTGCTCCATTCTAGACCATCAGTTCATCCATCAACCCAGCAGTATTTTCCATTCTTCAGTCAGTAAAGTACTATCTTAATCAATTTGCTATATCCATATGCCAATGTACCATTTTTTCCCTCTTAGGTTGACTCATTGCTTCTCTTATTTATGTAGGAATCTTAATTTCATTGCTGTAAATAGAGAATACATGTTGCCCGTCATAATCAGAAGGCAAGTGGGAATATTAGAAAAAAATTAGAAACTATGTTTCCCAGAGGGACCAACGCAGACATCTGCTTGCTGTTTATTAAAAGAGATATTAATAAGAGCTAACACTTATTGAGTATCTGCTATGCACTAGGTGTATCTTCACCCTCCTGAAATCTAACTCAGTCTTTCCAACCACTCTGAGTTGGCCACTTGTTATCATTACCATTTTACGATGAGATAACTGAGTCACAAAGTAACTTGCATAAGGTCACACAGCTGGTAAATGGTTTTAAGTGAGCAGCTGGAAGAAAGATGGAAAACGCAAACCCCATCGCTGAGTGGTTCAGAATTTCCACGTGCCCTAGCCTAGCTTTGAACAGAGCCTCTCCTGTGGTTAACAGGCAGCCCAGGACCCACGCTTAGAGAAATCTGACTGCTAAAGGATAACTTAAATTTTTGCAGCGTCAATATCTGACTCTTTTTTATCTTCATATCCTGCCCAGGAGGCTCACAACCTCTGCACGCAAGCGTGCGCGCGCACAGGTGGCAGGAGGGCCCTTCCCCGCAGAGCAGCCGGCCCACAGGGGAGCCCGGCTCTGCCCCCGGGGCTCGCTCGGCGCTGCCTTCAGCAATGTGCAGACTTCAAACGCGGGCACTCGGTGTCTAGACGTGTGCGACTGACCCAGGTCGTGGCCCGCGCTCCAGTAGTCAGGCACCAGGCCCGGGTCTCTTCCCCGCCAGCCTCTAGCACACTGGTTTTCCTTGCTCGCCCCCACCCCCGCGCCGGCTGTTGAGAGAAGAGGCTACCCCAGCACTACCACCCTCGGCTTAAACTTTCCCGAAGTCTCAGCTCTGCCCACTCCTGGCTCCGCCCGCAGGCGCGCGGGCGCGGCGCACCTTGGCGCCAGGGTGCGCGCGGACGGGTGGGCGCCGGAAGGCGGCAGGCTCGGAGGAGGGCGGGGCCGCGCGGGGGAGCGGGATAGACCTGGGGAGGAGGGCGGGCCCAGGGGGGACCTAGAAAGGGCGGGGCGCTCCTCGGCTGGGGAGCGCGCTGCAGGCCCAGCACTAGCATGGGCGACAGCGCCCCTGGCCGCGGGGATCGTTGCTGTATCCTAGGCGGCCCAGCAGGCGCTGAGATCCCGGCCGGAGCCCGCGGGCGGTGGGCGTGACCTCGCCGTCCCCGAGCCCGAGGTGCTTTTCGCGCGCCCCAACCCGCGAACGATGCGCGCCCCGGGACGTCCCGGAGGCTGAGGCCGAGCCCGTCGTGCCCATGGCCGACGCGCCGCGATCCCTGGCGCCCGCCTCCTCCTGCCCGGGCGGTGCGTCCCCGGCAGGCACGGGGCTGTGGGCCGCGCTGTACGACTACGAGGCCCGCGGCGAAGACGAGCTGAGCCTGCGGCGCGGCCAGCTAGTGGAGGTGCTGTCGCAGGACGCCGCGGTGTCGGGCGACGAGGGCTGGTGGGCCGGCCAGGTGCGGCGTCGCCTGGGCATCTTCCCTGCCAGCTACGTGGCGCCGTGCAGCCCCGCGTCCCCGGCCGCTCCCCAAGTCCCTCCGCCGCGGCCCGGCTCGCCTGTACACGTCGACTTCGAGCGGCTGGAACTCAAGGAGCTGATCGGCGCAGGAGGCTTCGGGCAGGTGTTCCGCGCCACTTGGCAGGGCCAGGAGGTGGCGGTGAAAGCGGCGCGCCGCGATCCGGAGCAGGACGCCGCGGCGGCGGCCGAGAGCGTGCGGCGTGAGGCCCAGCTCTTCGCCATGCTGCGGCACCCCAACATCATCGAGCTGCGCGGCGTGTGCCTGCGGCAGCCGCACCTCTGCCTGGTGCTGGAGTTTGCTCGCGGTGGGGCGCTCAACCGCGCGCTGGCCGCCACCGACCCACGCGCACCCGGCCCGCGCCGCGCGCGCCGCATCCCTCCGCACGTGCTGGTCAACTGGGCAGTGCAGATCGCGCGTGGCATGCTCTACCTGCATGAGGAGGCAGTGGTGCCCATCCTACACCGGGACCTCAAGTCCAGCAACAGTAAGCGAGCAGAGGGGCCAGCCAGGGGCGGGCTCCCAGCGAGGGAACTCTGGGCCAGAGGGGCTGCAGTCCACCGTGTCTTTTGCTCGGGCTTTCCAAGGCACACAGGCCCGGCAGGGCTTGGGTACTTGCTTTGGAGCACGTGACTCACTTGCCTTGATTTGTTGTCGCAGGGTGCCTTTTAAAAAGATGGGCGCCAGGTTTGCTTGTAGATCAAACATTTGTAAATATTTAGACTTTCTGGAAACTTCAGGATGAGCTTGACCTTTAGATACCTTAAGAGAAGTGACAACCAACTATGATGTATTCATCGCTCTAATTGTGTTTCCCCTGTTTATTTGGGTAGGATTCTGCAAGTCCAGGCCTTCCTAGGATTGAGGAACCCCAGCTTTTCCTGTGGCCGCTGGCCTTGCCAAACTGCTCCTTTACTTCCACTTTACAAATGCTGTATTGAGGTTGCTATTCTCCCCATTTATGTGTGCCCACGCACACTGTCTCTTGAACCTAAGACCTTGTGCTTCCTAAGGAAGTGCTCTATCATACTCTCTCGCTTTAATTATACCTTCATATCCTTTAACATTTCACTTTCTTCATTTCAGTGTCTCTGTATTTGACATGTGAATTTATTATTGATTCTGTTTTCCAGGCAGGAAGCCCTCATTTGTGCCATTATGAATTTTGGGGTTAAGAACAAGCCATTGTCCTTGCACAAGTCCTTGAAATCCCAAAGACCTAGCCTGTGTCATTTCCTTTATTTATAAATCACGTTGGATTTTCCAGATGTTAAAACAAAGAACTCCCATATGGCCCAAATACAAATTCTATCAAACTTTACTTAATTAATGAGTTAGTAAAATTGCTGTTTGAAGTTGTTTCTTTGCTATTGAAGATCCCTTCATATTCCTAGAAGGAAATGAAATCTCTTGAAGGATTAAAGGATGCAGCCAGAACTGGCATTGGCCTACCACAGCTACACGTCTCCAAGGCTTGTAAAACCTGCTGAGACAGGATCTACCTCAAAGGGGATAGTGTCCTCTAAGTGCAGAAAGAAGAGAATCAAGAAGAAATGATAGGTTTGTCCTATGTTTGTGTAAAGTATTTTTCCCTGTCAGAAACCTTCAGTACTGAAATTTACTTGAAAACTACTAATGTAGCAGTTTTCATTGTTAGGAGTAATCTGAGTGTTGTAGCTCTGTATGAGGTTGAATACGTCTAGGTTTCATTTGATGTCTCTGTCCTCCCAAGTCTGGCATGATTTGGATCTCAGCTGCTTCAGGGACAGAGCAAAGTGTAACAGTGTGGCAGGAAGTAACGGTGGTGGTATGTCTCAGCCCTCTGACATGGGATGCTCCATGAAGGACTCTGGAATTCATTTGCTTTTAGATTGTCAGAGTAGAGACACGCTGATTTTCAATGCACTTACTTTTGTAAATAATTTCAAATTTGGTAGTGTGTACTCTCAATGTGTGCTTATTTCCTAAGTATGCTTTTGTTGAAAGAAATAACCTGTTGCCATGGAACAAGTGACTTGTCCATGTGTCCTGCTAAGCCCTTCTCCCAGTGACAACTGCGGGGAGTTTTGTGCAGAGCCAAAGATTCCAAGGACAGCTACAGCATCATTTTCTGTCTCTTGGCATGATAGCGGCTCTGTGATAACATGGAAACTAGCATTAGCAAATGTGTTCTGTTGCAGGCAGGACAGCAGATCATCAGCATGAGAAGGAGCTTGAGGTGCGTTGGTCCTCATACCTGAAAGCTAAATGGCCAGTAGCTGGGACTTTTGCATTGTACCTAGTCTGCTTGTTTGTGGCAGTACCTTGTGAGGTCTGTACATGTTCTTGAGGTACAGCATGGTTGCTAGTGTTTGGAAACCATAGGAGGGGATGCTAAGCCATGTTCTAGTTTTGCAAAAAATTAAGCTTTTTTGTATAAAATATAAAGTTTTTTTAAAAAACTTCCTAATACTCTTAAATAGTAAAATAAATAATGTGATCCTGGAATAACTATAGTTAAGTGGTTTCCATTGACACCTGAAACACTTTTATAGGCTACTGGATATGAAGTAGATGTTTTGTACTTTGAAGGAGATTACAGTTTGCTATGTAGTTTTTTGTTTTTTTTTTTAATTCATTGGTACAGTTTGGACCTATACAATGGTCACATTCATCACAGGGAATTTGTACCTAAACGTGATGTATCCTGTTTTGCTACATAGTTTTGAAAGGCTCTACCCTCAGAAAACATTGCCAAACTTACCTGAGCATTTTAATTTCTGTAATTGCAGGCAAGGTTCCCTTTACTTCAAATTCTTGCACTCTTTAAAGGCTTAATTGGCTAATCACTAGTGTAGGGAAATATTTGTTGCAGAATGACCATTATGATAGTTATTTAACTAATATAAAATGAAATTTTTGAATAGGTCCTGTAATATGAAAATCATAGTGCCTAGCAAATGGCCTTATCCTGGCGGTCGGGTTGTATTTGTCCAGTGAATAAACGCAGATTCTTTTGAATTTCCTTATGATACCTGAAGCTGTAACTTCTTGTTCAGATTTTTGAGTGTAGCAGGTACTCTGTTACAACATGTTTTATTTGACTTTATTCATTATTTGCTTATGGTGGTAGTGAGTTAATGACAATGTAAATACGGCTTTAAAAATCAATATTGAGTTTTATTTTCACTCATACTGTACACACAGAACAAAGCCTGTAGAAAACTACTGAAACCAAATCAGTGTAAATTATTGTTTATCTCTATTCCTTTTTTTCCCCATTCCCTTATCTTCCCTTCAATCCCTTGTCCCCTCCTTATTTACAAAGGCTTTGTTTCCATTTTTGCATCTTTTATTGTTTTTTTTCTTTTCCCTTCCTTCATTTCTCCCTCGCCTTGCCTAGCTCCCCTTCCCAACTGAACATTTTGTTCCTATTTCATAATATCTGGGATACATTCTAGTCCTTATTTACACTCACAGTTTCTCACACCAGAGAAATAATAAACAAGAGTTTATTACACTTGACAGATTTTCATTCATGTTTTCTAATGGGTCTTGAGTTTTATCACATTGCAGAAGTGTCTATAATATAATAGCCGATATGTTGTGTTAATGTAAATAACCTTGTCTAGTTTCAAACCGAAGGCAGCAGTTGAAAGTTGAGCCACACTTGTAGGTTTTGAGCATCATTTATGTTGTAAAAAATGCTCAGCTCTGAATCTCCCAGGATGCCTGATAGGTAGAAAACACTTCACTGAAGCTTATGTATGCCCCAGCTAGAGGATAATATAAGGCAACTTTGGGCTACTATGAAACTGTTGGTTTTATATACACATTCCGGTTATTGTGAAAATTTCAATCATATCTATATGCATTCAGAGAGTGGAGGAAAATCACTGCATGCTGAAACTCATTTAACCCTCTGCCAGTGTCTTGTAGGCTCCAGGGACACAGTGGCAAACCATAGGGTAGTAACAGTATCCCTGCCATCAGGGAGCTTAGTCTAATGGGAAAAGAATGGCAGTTGTGCAGTTGCAATTATTAGCATGTCTGCCAAAAAAACAAGCAGAGGGGAAGTAAAAAGAATTAAGACGTGTAATAAACATGGACCAGTTTGGCTTCTACGGATAGTGAGAGCTAGCAGTAGTACCTCAATTCATGAGCTTGTTTCCATGATTCTGGTCGCAAACCAAATTGGATGAGAACTACATTAAATTCAATGGTTAGGGTCAATGTTTACCTTATGGGGATATTTGATTCAGTTCTCATACAATTCGATTTGTGACCAGAATCATGGAAAGAACTAAGTTCGTGAACCGGAGCACCACTTTATTAGTGCCCTCTCTTGCTAGCTGCGTGACCTGCAGCAAGTTATATGTCTTGATTCGCGTACACTGTGCCGTATCCTCCTGTGAAGATTGACAGAGGTCTGTAGGAGAAATCTGTTTAATGTTTCTGCACCCATCAAAGGCAGTTGGGTAAATAATGACTTTTTCAAGGAACAGTGAACAGTCAGGAGTGTAAATAAGAAAAGACAGAGTCAGGACTTTGCAGGTGCCAGGCCCCAGTGCTCTAGGTACGGGGCTAGGATGTGTGCACTAAGTAGCGGGCCCCAGGGTGTCCTTGAGGGTCCTTGAGGAAGAAAGAAAGTATTGTGTGATCTGCTGCTAAAGACAAACAGCTGTGAAGGAAAAGTACAGTGCTGGGGTCATTTGCTTTATGACTTTGCTGTCAGAGTCTCAGAATGGCAGCAATAAAAAATACAGCGACTCACTTAGACATTTGTTTGACGTAAATTGTTGATGACTTATGATCACAACCTTGTTTTAAAAATCACAAGTTGTTTATTCATTCAGACCATTTTCTTGCTCTGATTTCTCCCTCCTGCTAGAGTGAGGAAAATAATGACTCTTATCTGCTGTCAGACTGCTGATTGTAACACTGAATGTTAGCGGCTGTCCCCAGGACCTCCAAGGGCAGCCAAGCACTTGGGGTGGACGTGTCTGGTGGAGGGTTGTAGGGGCGGAAGGGCTCCTAGGAAGGCAGAGAACTGTGATGATTTTGTTTTGGAGCCTGAAACTCCAGTTTCATCTCCTCCAAATATGCCTTCTCTTTGGTGCCTCAAGGTAGCTACATAATGGTGGGAGTAGAAACAGCAGCCAGCCTGGATCTGGGTGCCACCCGATGGCACCCTTGATGCCATGACTGCTCTTAATGCCTCTGAGCAGTGCGCCTCTCAGCCCCGCTCACAGGGAAAGAAGCTGCAGCAGGGCTTAACTGGCTGGTGGAAGCCACCAACTGGGAGGTCAGTGCCGAGAGGTAACCCAGGGCCTCTGTTCCCAGAACCTGACCCCTTAGGCTCTCCGTGTATTGCCTGGATGAACACTTCTTAAACATTTGTTTACAGGACCCCTGGAGAGCTTTTGTTTGTATGGGTAAGAGCAAATGATATTTACCCTGTTAGATACTTCAAATGATACACTTGCAACTATTTAACAGTATAAAATA